AGAGTATCATTGAGTGTGCCCTCTCCTCCCAAATATAAGTAAAAGGTTGTAGTTGATGGAAATCAACCTTAAAAGATGACAAATTATGGTGTCAAGAATGACTGTACTGTATTAAGAAAGATTTTGAAGGGGTTATACACAGAAAGCTTGTCTTTCATGTGGCCAACCCAGCTTGGAATTGTACCACCTCAGAGGTCCTCTGAACACCATCAAGAGAACACTCCTGAGCATCATCATGTATAACTCCTGAATACAAAGCTGAAATAGCCTGAAATACCACAGACTATGGAACAGTCTCCTTCTACACCCTCAAATAAAAGTAAGTTTGAGTTAGGAGTAGTACTGATTGGCTGCAAAGAAATGTCCAAGTGCTTTATTTTTTAGCGCTTAATTTATGTAAATTTGCTTTAATAGAAAATTCATTTCTCTTCAAAAGTTTAATTCCTCCTTCTTTATCCTAAGTTTTGACTTTTCATTTTAGGCAAATATATCTATCTTAACCTAACCTTATTTGAACAACAAGTTTCATAGCCCAGGATGACTCAAATCCCTTTACACCCAAAGAAACAAAAAGAAACACTTCATTATACCAAGTGCAAGTTTTTCTTCCCAGAGGAAGCAATCTTTGTCAATTTAAAAACTCCTATAGCACTTATTATCTGAGCTATTTGGCACTTAATAATAAACTGACTTGTATTATTATCTCAACTTTTTAATGTGTTTACGTCATATTTTTCCATGTAATCTTGATTTCCATAAGAACCAATTTTTTAAATTCCATTTTATATTACCTTTAGTTGCGGCATGCTCTCTGTCACTGACTATAAAACCAGAAGTAAAACTAAAGTATTAAAAATTAGGAAAAGATAAAAGTAAAATCATACTAATTTAATGACACACCAATATTTTGAATACTTTTTGGAAGACATGACTGTCAGTAGAAGTAATACTTATGTTTTATAGCCAATCATAATGTATGAAATTAATAATCTAATAATCTAAAAGTGCCAGCACTAAAACAAATTAGCTTTGTTACCAGTGTGAATTCTACCCCTTCTAATCATGTTTTTAGCTATAAGCTTTGTTGTAACAACAGGATTTCTAAAGGAAAAATGGTGTGAGTTTTGCATTTTAAAGTGCCATGTGGGTTCGAGTCATTAATTCTATATGATATTCAACATGTCAGTATGTATATTCTCTTAGGATCTTATCTATAAGATGCAGATGCCTAAGTATGCTTTCTATGTGCCTCACAGGAAGATTATAAAATCAGTGAAACAAAACACTTGTTGAATATTCGAAGGCTATGATTCAGGTTGATGAATGCTTTTTTCCCTTCTGCTCTATTATGGGGAAAGAAGTGGGAATGCCCAAGGGAAAAATCAAAGGGACAAGATAGGGAATACTATACATTTATATCAATTTTTTAAAAAATGGTAAGAATTTGACTTGAGAGATGGATTTATGATTTTTGAAGTGTGGACAGATAACTTCAATAATCTGTCCTTCTTCATTCCCCATTTCCATTTAATCTACCTAGTAAATAAAGAAATTTAAAGCTTCCTCAAACAAAGTGCACTGCATGTAGAGCAATTCTTCTAGATTAGGAAACATGAGCAAAGGGAAGATTATTCAGCTTCTACTTCAATGTAAGAGTGGTGGATTTAGCTGATTAAACTGTTAACAAAGGAAATTCAATAGGTAAATATCAATCTGACAGGAAAGGTTTGATAGTTATTATTATTCTATAGATAATAAAGAGTTGCTGGCAAAATGCCCCCAGAAGATGGCATTGTTTACACTATTGTCTAAGAGGAACAGCTGTTTGCCCCTTACTTCATTCAGTGCTGAAGTATTCTTACTGAAATGTTAACAAATCTTAGACAAATGTCTGCTATTTAAAACTGAAAGTTGCTCTGAGACAGGTGTGTTTGTCTAACAGGAAAAAAAAAAGCTACAACTGTAAGTAGGACTTTAAATTAGGTGAAATTTATAAACTATCACTATATCTGTATTTAGATGCACATAAGCAGAAGTTGTGCTATTTATAATGACTTGAAGATTATTCACAGTTTGAGGCTTCATGGTAACATATTTCCCCGATCGCCTTTTAATATATACTGCAACCACATCTTACTGACAAATAGATTAATTGTAAAGCATTTGGTCATAAACATAAGAGAACATTTTCTATTTTGAGAGTGGGATATTTTGGATAGCCTTTTTTGGAAATGGTATAGGAGGCAGGATAATGTAGTGGAACATTAAATTCAATGACTGAAAACCTTTGTTCTCTAAGTGCCATTTTTTTCCATTCGTAGAAAGAGAAGTGTTTCAGTGTTGGTAAGGAGAGGAGCTAGGGGAAATATGCACTGCTGGTAAGAGGGGGATATACATTTACAAAAGCTTTTTATAGAACTACTAGAAATATCAGTTAAAGCTGAAGATAGGCATGTTCAGAAATTCTATTCTAAGTACTTGAAAAACATGTTGAGGATCTTAAAAGGTAGGTAAAGATGGCATAGTTAAGATATGTTAGGTAAAACAAACTCTAGACATAATGTGTTGATGGATTTGTAAATAGTATTACTAATGTGACATATTTGTACATTAAATATAATGCAACCGTTAAATGAATAGATTATGATTTTATATATCCAAATGATATAAACGAACATAAAAAATTAGGTGCAAATCAGACATATGTACCATTTACGTGTAGGTGAAATATAATCAAAGTAACAGTATATATTATTTAGAGAACTAAATATGTTTAGAAAAGTGTTTGCTTATTATGTATAGGGATGAAAAATGTTTGCTTCTAGGTATGCTGGGGAATAAATGGGTTCAGTCAAGAATTAAAATGGGCATAAATTATGCTGTATTATTTTAAATGTCTAAATGTTAAAGACCAAACACAATTGAAGAATGACTCACATTTTCTTAAATGCCTAAATCAACCTTAGAGGTTTTTTCCAAACCTTGAGTCTTCAAAATCCAGGGCTCAGTGACAGCACCCATTGGCTACTCAATAGACAAGACTGAGCCCAAGATAACTAGAACAGCAGCTTCCCCTCTCAACCAGGGCCCTGCCAACAAGGCAGCTTTCTGAATCATTTCAGTTTTGATATGCCCTGATCTCCTGGATATTGCTTTTATCCCAATCAAAAAACTAAAGTTAGTGCTGGAAAAGTCCAAACATCCAGTATCTTACATAGTTATGTTTCATTAGAAACTTGAAGAAAGAGGATTGCTTGTTATTCCTAATAAGAGGGTGTTTAACTTGTGTAATAAAGTATTTTTACCTCTCTAGTAAAACAACTACAATCCAATCACCAGTCGACTCTTCTAGGGTTCCAATGGCATGACTCCAACTCTACCCCAAACAACAAGGTTAACCTCAGGATTCACTCATAAACTACCTAAAACTCTGTTCAGCCCGCTGTAGCTGTACTGCAGGTAAATTAAGACCAAGGTTAGTTAAGGGATATATATATAACAGGGTAAAATAATTACATATTTACACTACGGGGAATGAGAAACGGGGTGGTCTCTGGAGGGGTGACATCAACTTCCTCTGATGCGATGCTACCCTAACTTGATTTCAAGCCTCACATAAGAAAAGTGATTAATGGCCCCTTATTTTGTTGAGATTTCACAGATTTCTGACAGCTCCCAATAAAAAGAAAATACATTGATTTATGATAAAGCAGGAGAGCCCACAGATGTAATCTAGAAGCAAAGACAAAACTAGTGATTTTAATACGGAGCCTCTAGCAAAACTACTCTTTTCCCTCTGTGAAATTTTAATTCCTCCAGTGGAGTCCTCAGATCTGAAATCTGATGGGCCCACCAGGAGCCCCGATGTCCACTCCGAAGGATTATCCCACCCGATTTGTCTCGTCCTCACTCTACCTTTCTTAGACACAAACCCACAACGTGAAGTCCGAAAGTCAGAGCACCCAGCACCCTGCAGTACTTGCCTATAGCTCCGAGCAAACAGCCAGGAGCGTGACGAAGGCTTGGATTGCCGGTGCCAAGGCTGAGCGACGGGTGTAGGGTGAGGGTCGGTGAAGCAGGGGAGCGGACACAATGCTTAACCTCTATATCAGAATCCCCGCGATTAGCAATATCCATCAGCATGCCATACTAGGGAACAAACGAGGGGCGATTCCGTCGCAACCTTCATCTTCCCTCTCCCAAGAGAAAGTGAGAAAGAGCGAGCGAAGGAGAGAAAGAGAGGGCGAGCGAGCGATTAGAGAGAGAGAGAATGAGAAGGATGGGGCGGGGCACCTCGTTAGCTCCTGGCCAAGATTTCCGTGGGAAATTCCCTCTTGCTAATGCGTTGTCTTCCAACTCCTTTGAGTATCCCTTCATCAGCGTTCTTCGAAAACCTGGCTTAAATCTTGGCATCTTTTTTCCTAACTGGCATACCAAAAAGAGGGGTGGAGGAGCAAGGAGAAAAGGTGGGGCGGGGGGGGGGGGGCGAGCAGGAGAGACAGACAGCACGGTTTCTTCCCCCCTTCTCCCTCTCCCTCCCGGGTAAGCCAAAGCGCACCGCGGCAGCCGGGCAGCCGGGGTGCAAGCGCGCCCGAGCGCGGCGAAGACCCGCCCAGGCCGCTCTTATAGGAGAGCGCGGGGCGGGCCTGCCGGGGGCGGCGCCGCGCGGGCAGACGCGCCTATAAGGAGCTGTCCCCCCGCCGGTGCTGATTCCAGCTCGAGCGTCGCACTCGGCGGATCCGGCCGTCCAACTAGCGCGGAGACGGTTTCAATTGGGTTTGGGTTTTCACCCTTCACGGAGGCGGGGAGTGGAGAGGAAGAGGCGGGGGAGGAAGGCCAGTCCTGCGAGAGGCAGTTGCGGGAGACTCGCTGCAGCTTCAGAGAGGACCTTTGCTTCACCCGTGGCGCTCGGAGCACGGGATGGAGTGAAGCGGCCGGGGCTTCCTCTCAGGGGGGGTGGGAGGGGGCCAGGCGGTGCAGAGGCGAAAGAGAGAGAGAGAGAAAAGAAGAAGAAGGGGAAGAAGCAGCCGCGTCTGGCGCCTGCAAATTTGGGATTCGTTTGGGAGGGACCGCGCACCCTGGGGAAATGGATTCTGTACCAAGGCTCACCAGCGTTTTCACTTTGCTGTTTTCCGGCTTGTGGCATTGGGGATTAACGGCGACAAATTGTGAGTACCGGGAGCTGGGGACGGGGAGTGAGGTGGGTAACGCCAGCCTTTGGAAAGACACTCAACTGTCCGAGCGTGTTCAGTTGCCTTTGCTCCTGGCCAAGGAAAGTGGGGGTGTGCATGGATGCTGATCGGTGTGGTTCCATTACTCGAATCATCCCAAAAGTTAGCTAGCATGAGCTAGCCCCGCTAGATTTCCTGTCCTTCTTCAATCTCAAAGTTCCGGGGGAAGGAAAGGAAGGTTCCCTTCGCCTTTTACCAGTGACTTTTTTTTACGTCTGACAGATTTCTTCCAGCCCCCTCCCCCCTCCTCCACCGCCCCCAGAAGAACCCAGGTTCAGACTGTATACACTGGTGACTGAGCTTCCTGGGATAGAGCCTGCCAGTCAAAGCACTTGGGGACAGCTGCCGGTCTCTGAATGCAGCTGCTTGATATTTGCAGTATACCCAGTGCTTCATAATACATGGCTTGTAGTTCTCCTTTCCGCAGGGGCTCTGGTTGGGGTATCTCCAACCAATGGACATCGGTTATACAGGATTGGGAGTTTCGGCCTAAAGAGTCAGAGCCCACTGTAGGTGAACAGGATCAGTGGCTGCCCCCGTTCCAGAAGGAAGAGCTTTGATGCACTTTCCACCCCCAAAATATTTGTGCTGAAGAACACATAATGAATATGCACTAACTGTACACTCTGCTGTCCATGCTCTAAGCTCCGCAAGAGCAGGGCATTCCATTGAATAGGTTGGATACGAGGGATTCGCCAACTGTGCTGTGTATTTAAGGAATTCAGTATGTCAAACTTGAATACATCACCGGAGCTCTCAGAGGTTCACGCTCAATTGTTCAGCTTCTTCTCTAGGCAAAGAAGGGAAGTTTTTCCAGTTCTTGAAACTCCTAAGTGGGAAGAATGCAACTAAGCCATCTGTGTTATTTCTAAAGATGGTTTAAAAAGGTCCCTAAAGTTTGGGGGCTTGTTCCTCTGTCTGCGAAGCCCACTATGAGTCTTATAATAGTTTAACCTTATTACATACCTATATAATATATATCATGCATAGGTATATAGATATACATATATAGATATGAATATATATATCACATACACACAAACATGCACAATCTAAAACATGATTGTTAGATAAAAGAAGGAAGATTACTCACTGCTTCGGGATCTCTACCTCACTCTTCACTTTCTTAAATCCGAGAGGATCTTAAACAAGAGGTATTTAACTCAGAATTAAGTCCTGAAGTAACTAGAACAAATGCTATTTCCTAGAAAATTCAAAGGAAAGCAATATTTTAATGTATGGTTGACATTTTTGGAGATTAAGAATCTATTGTCGGTGGTAACACATTGTAGAGATTGTATTAAAGTTTGTATTCAAAGGGATCACTTTAAGAGGTCAACTACTCTGAAAGATCCAAATGGTCGTAGCTTAGAAATTATTTTAGAGAGTAGGTAGGAACAGTTTAGAATCTGCTATTTTTTCTTCCTCCTATTACACCTCACTCTTCCTGCTCTTTTCTTTCTTTTTTTCTTATTTTAAGTGAAATGATTTCCATGGTGCTTCAAAAAAAAAAAAATCTAAGTAGTTTTAGTAAAGCATGGAGCTAAGCTAGACTCTCTGCCTCTGTGGAACGCTAGAGGTCAGTATTGTCCTAGTGATGCAAAGGTGTGGCCGGAAAATAGCTGGTTTGTTTCACACATTTGCCTACCTGAAAATATTTTTTGAAAATTCACAGTGATGGAATGAGGAATAAATAAATAATCCTATACAGGAATATATCATACTATATATATAGATTTATATTTCTTTTCTTGGTACTTTTCTCCTTTTCTTAAGAGCAAGAAAAAATATTTAAAAAACTGTACAATGTCATTTTCTGTGAACTAATTGATATATGGTCAATATGTTATAATTATTCTCCAAACCCATGAGTGGCATGAATGTACGGTTCATACTTATAATTGATGATGCAACAATGAAACTGATTCTGAACATTTATAGTAAACTTTGTGATGATGAGTTTTATTATTTCATCAGTGACTGTTTAATTACCCTATTTACATTCAACATTTCAATCAATTGTATGTAAATTGCTAAATAGTTTGGTTTTATTGTTCTTAATAATAATATATGTTTCTATTATGTTGATAAAATGTATTTGTTCAGTGAACAATAGAATAGCAGCAGAAAATCTCTTCTGAACTCAGTACATCATAGTAGTCTTCAGAATGTGTAATACAGAACCTCTAAGAAATATACAGTAATATTCTCCAATTTTTCCAGGTTTTCTATTTTCTACATGCTTTATACAACTAATATAAGGCTTTGATTTATAAACTATTCAGTTACATTTAGGAGCAGATATTAATGAAAATAATTTCTTTTCAATCCATTTCTCTAAGTTTTTGTATTACTTGAAGAAACTATTTTTCTCAAGACTATTCCTGCTACGTTTAAATTAATATTTTATATAATCTATTGTTCTAATATCAAAAATAAATTATTTATCAAAACTTCTCTATGACATGTAGAATCACTGCAAACTTTGTTCAATTAAAACAACTCAATTGTTTCCTTTATTTTAATAGTGTTTTGTTAATAGTGTGTGTAGGATGTATCTCAAGTAAATACAAGATTATTTCCTCATAATATGACCAAAATTATAATTATAATTTACCTGCAAGGGAAAAATGACTTCTTTTTCAATTATAGATTTTATATATTTCTAATTAAACAAAATTAGAATAAAGTCAGGTTAGAGGTCCAACTACTGTGTGCATGTTATGGATCTGTGCATAGAATCTAATTATCCAACAGTAATAGAAACTCTGGAAATTCCCCCATTTCAGATTTTCAGGATATTAAATAGTTACAACATTTCCTCTGGGTTTATCCTGAGGGAATTTGTTAATTTTAAATGTAGATATGATAGGCCAGTGTTAAATGAAAAACCATTTTACATATATCAGATTCTATAAACCAAAAAGAAATTATGTAATTTGATAATTGACTTAAGTGAAACCAGGAGTTTTAAATGCTACAGTTTTATAATCCAGTTATGCCATAACTAAAATGTCAAATGCTCATCAGACTTTCTGTGCTCACATGCTTAGGTATTAAACAGCAGTTGAGGAAGCAGATAGATAATATAGTGGGTAGGGCACTTGCTGACTTGGATTCAATTCCGAGCACCACATTCTTCGCCACCAAGAGATGAGTCCCTGAGCACAGAGCCAAGAATAAGCCCAGAGCACCACTGGGAGTGCCCCCAATACAAAAACAAAGTAAAAGAAACAATTGAGAAATTTGTATATCCGCTCGAGCAAAGTGATGAACAACGGAAGGACAGTGCTACAGTGCTACAGTATATTCCCATTAGAAAAACTGGTTATTTAACTCAGGACATTCCTTAGATAATAGCTCTGTTGGAAGAGTATTTTAACATGATAACTTGTATTTAGAAGTTGCATATAATGCATGAAGCCCTTACTGGACACCAGTCACTTTGTATTTAACAATAAACAAATGTCCTATGATTATGAAGTGCATTTATCTTGACCGCCATACATCTTAGATTTTCTGCTTTTTCTTTTTTTTTCTTTTTTACCCTCCAGTAGTTTCGGTGAAAAAACCCAAAAACTTTGTATTAGTCCGTTCATTACAATTCATATAAAATATAATTGTTATTCCTACTCATAAAGATTTTCAAATAAGGATATGTATTTTCTTAAGTTATATAAAGCTTATATACAAACTCAATCAATAGGTAAAGTAAACAAAGATCCGACTGATTTTAAGCAAGAAAATGTTTGCAGTTTACTTATTGTGGCATTACCATAGTGGACATGAACAAAGCCATGTAATGCTCCTTTGGAAGTGTCCCAAAGATTTTCTTGCAGTTGAATGCGCAATCCATAAGAATTCTTTCCCCTTTCTCTCCCTATTGTTTTGCATCTTCAGGGCAGATTTCTATTCTGCAATAGAAAATGAATGAAATCTAGACTAGTGATTTTTACACAAGGATACAGAATCATGAGAGGAAAGTTGTACAATATGAATTAACTATGTGACTCTTCTTTCTAATGAATAACTGTTCTCTACATTGAATTTTTCATTCTATTCTTGTTTTTAAAATTTTATTTTTTTAATTGAATCACCGTGAAATATACAGTTAGAGTAGTTATATTCTTACCCCTTTTCTCTTCCCAATCGACTTTTCTCTCTTTAATGGAATCCAGTTTTCCTTTGCAACATTGCTTACTTCTTCTCAGTACCCTTTTGTTACAATACAGAGAAATGTTATAGCATTTGAAATGCCCCCAAAACCTCTGCATGGTAATCCAAAGTCCATTAGCTTATATGTCAGAAGTCTATTAAATGTGTCCTATATATACAAAATTAATTATCCTGCTATGCTCGAAGGTGGAGTCTTCTTACTGAAAAGACCAGAACGCATTAATTATTTCCTCAACAGGAATTTATTGTGAAGCTTCAGTGCATTCATTTGTAGCCAATAATGACATTTTTAATTTATAAGAGAATCTGTCTTTATTTATCAAAACTTTGACACTTTCTGGCTGGTGCCTTGTAAATATTATAGATTGTTTTCTTATTATCTTGGTATAATGAGTGAAGAAATTGGGACAAATAATTATTAAAAATCTATCTCACCATAATATGTTTTTTCTATCTCATCATAATATGTTTTTGCCTTTGCTGATGTTACCCATTAGTGGGTCAATCACTGGTCATTCCATTTGGACTTTTCTAGATGATGATAGTAAAAAACTTGAGGGAAAAGAACAAATATCAGATGATCTTACTCATCTATGGTATATAGAGATACGAGTCAAGAGAATGGAAGGTATCAAATGATGGAAAAGCCTTGGTCCTTAATTACAGAACTGAGACTATCAAGTGAGGACTGGTTGTGGGTGGGTGTATGTATGTGTGTGTGGTGGGACAGAGTTGGTGGGAGGAAGATGCAGGTGGTGCAG